AGTTTCTATAGTAGATTGCCCTGTGATGAGTCTGTACATCATGGCAGAAGCATATGGCAAAAATAAATTGTTTGACTCATGGGTAGGTAGCAAAAAAAGAGAAGGGATTTAGGTATCCTAACCCCCTTCAAGGCACAACACCGATGACCTAATTTCCTTTCTCTAGTGCCCACCCCTTTTTAAAAAAGTTTTTGTTTGAACACTTGCAGTGCATAATGATTACATTCACCGTGAGAAGTTGGTGCATGTACGCAACGTCTTCTTTTCTCATCCTCTTCCCTCTATCTCATAGTCCTTTGCCAATATGCATAAGGTCTGTTTCCCTATTTCCCATTACCTTTAATTTTACTCCTTATTTATATCTTGGGTTTCTCACATAAAAGAAATTATGTATTTAAGGTTGAGTGTCTGACATATTTCACTTAACTTTATGGTTTCAAGGCACATCTGTTTTTCCTAAAAATTACTCACATTATTGTGTATATGACCACGTTTTCTTTATCCATTCATTTGGTGATGGACATTTAGGCTGCTTTCAAGATTTAACTATTATGAGTGGTGCTGCTATAAACATAGGTATTCACATATCATTGTAATATGATGTCTTTAACTCTCTTGTGAAGATACCTACAAGGGAGATAGCTGGGTCAGATGGAATCTCTAGTTTTGGTCTTTTCAGGACTTTCCACAGTGGTTGTACTAGCTTACATTCCTACCAACAATTCCATCTTGTAGCCTTGCCAGCATTTGATTTCTAGGTAATAGCCATTCCCTCTGGAGTAAGATGGAATCTCAGTGTTGTTTTAATTTGCACTTTTCTTATGTAAGCCCCACCCCTTAAAGAGTTCAGTACCTCTCAAGAATGCAATGCTATCTGGAAAACCTTAACATTTAAGCTATAGCAAAACCTACACCTTAATAATCCATAATATCTAAAAGTGATTTTTGGAGCAAAATTGTTGGGGAACAGACAGCTTTTGATCAACCGGTAATACTTTACTGGCATGGAGTAAGGATGGTACACGGAAGAGAGTGGTTGTTATCACCTGCTCAGTTTACCACATGGCAAGTGGGAGGCATGGTCAGTTATCCACACAGGGGCATTCTACACAGAATTGGGATGTTCACAGAGCAAAGGTTTACCCATTGTCAGGGAATGTGTGTGTGGGGGATTTTGTTTTCTTATTTTAATTTCCAGACAAAAGCATTTATTAATTCCTTTATTTATGGAGACAGGGTCTCACTGTGTACTCCAGACTGGCCTTGAACTCAGTGTGTAGCCCAAGCTGGCCTCGGATTTAGCCACATAAGTGTGGGGATTATAGGCATGTACCAATAGTCCTGAATAAAAGCTTTCATTTTACAAGGGGGCTGGTAAGAGAACCAAAATGCAGCCCAAGTGAATTTGTCATTGGCATTTTCATCTTCTTTGGGTCCTGGGGTCCATTCTTCTCAGCAAGACATCTCCAAATTCTCATTACAAGTTTTTTTCTAGTTCAGCTGAGAATAGCTTGGTAGTGTTGTATGGATAGCATTACAGACTTTGTAAAAGAAAACAAGCTCTCTATAGCATTTTCACCAGTACAAAAAGTATCTTAATAGTGCCATTAGTCTCCTACCCCCTTCTTTTCTGTAGTACTGTGGACCGAAATCAGGGCCGCCCACAGATAGTACTACACAGGTGCTCTACCACACTAAATTGCCCAGGCTGGCCTTGAATTTACCATCACCCTTCCTCAGCCTGCCAGGTAGCTGTGATTACAGGGGGTGTGCTTCCACACCTGACCTCTGCTTCATTTCTTTATCCATCCCAGCATAGCATTACAGAATGGTCACCACCTGTAAATTACTTTTTCATGTGCTAGGGATACAATGGTGAGAACACCAACATGTTCCTAATGAAGCCTACAGCCTAGTTATAAAGCATATCAAATATCACCCCCTACCTACTCCCTTCAACTTTCTGCTCTGGTAAACTGTCCCTTTTTGGTAGACAGAGAAGAATAGGGGAGGGCCGAGAGAAAGAATGAATATGAATGGGCACTTTAGCTCTGAGTGCAGGAGCAGATTGAGAGCTGTTTTCAGGAGTACTAAAGCCAGTCTCTTACGAAAGAGTAAAATAGGAGGAAGAAATAAAGTGGGAGCAAAGGAAGGAAAAAGAAAAGACAAGAAGATGCTGATTTAGGGGAATGGGAGAGGGTCATCTGGGATCCTAGGTGACTTATGCTCTGGCTCCCACTGTTGGCACTGCACAGCCTTTTTTTTTTAAAA